GCAATTAAGAAGCAAAAATTTAAAATTCCGGTTATAGACGAAATTATGAAAAACTTAAAGGATTCTAAATATTTTACAACACTAGATGCAACTACTGGGTTTTGGAATATTCCACTTGATGAAAAAAGCAGTGATTTATGTGTTTTTGGAACTCCTTTTGGCCGCTACAAATTTAAACGTATGCCCTTTGGCATTACTACTGCGAGTGAAGTTTTTCAAGAAAAATTTCAACAACTTTTTCAAATGGAAGAAGTAGAGGTCTATATTGATGACATTCTCATACACGGAAAAACCAAAGAACAACACGACCAACGTTTAGAACCTGTGTTAAAAATAGCGCAAGAACAAAACATCAAATTTAATAAAGAAAAATGTCGAATTGGCCTACAAGAAGTTACATATTTAGGTTATAAATTTTCAGGCAGAGGGGTTGAAATAGATGAAGAAAAACTCAGTGCCTTAAAAGAGATGCCATCACCAAAATGTAAGAAAGATCTTCAAAGATTTTTAGGACTTATTACATATGTAGGAAGATTCATTGAAAATCTTTCAGAAAAAACTTATCTGTTAAGACAACTTTTAAAAGAAAAGAGTTCATTTGCATGGGAAGAAGAACAAGAAAAAGCGTTTCAAGAATTGAAGAATCTTTTGATGCAACCTCCTTGTTTACAATTTTTTAACGTAAACCTTCCAGTCACACTTTCTGTAGATGCATCCAAAAATGGTTTAGGAGCGGTGCTAATTCAGAACGGGTCACCTTGTGCATATGCATCAAAATCCATGACATCTACTCAAACGAAATATGAACAAATTGAGAAAGAACTATTAGCAGTTTGCTTCGGAGTGGAAAAATTTCACCAATACATATATGGACAAAAATTTACTGTGGAAACTGACCATAAACCACTCATACCCATTTTTAAGAAAAGTCTAAATGATTGTCCAGCTCGTCTTCAACGTATGCTACTGTCACTTCAAAAATATGACATTGAAATCAAATACAAACCTGGAAAAGAACTAATTATTGCAGATCATTTATCGAGATCAATGTCACCAAAAGTATATCAAGAAAAAATGGACTTAGAATGTCAAATTTGTCTAATAAATGATCGCATAGAAATCAGTGACGAACGCTTAGAAGAAATGATAAGTGCAACAGCTGAAGATATGGAAATGCAAGAACTGAAACAATACATAGAAAACGGATGGCCACAAAACAAAAGTAAAGTACCAGACAACATCAAAAAGTATTATAACTTCAAGAATGAATTATTCCAAGGAATGGGTTTAATTTATAAAAGAAATACAATAATAATACCCTACAAAGTGCGCACTAAAGTCTTAAATAGCATTCACACTGGTCACTTCGGAATAAATAAATGCATTCAACGAGCAAACCAAGCAATCTACTGGCCAAACATGAATGTAGAAATAGAAAATTTTGTCAGCAAATGCCAAATATGTCAACAATATAGTCGAAACAATACAAAAGAACCACTAATATTACACCAGATTGAAAAAATTCCCTGGTTCAAAGTTGGAATTGACATATATGAATTGTATGGAGAAGTCTATTCACTCGTAGTAGACTATTATTCAAAATATGCTGAAATTGCAAATCTTAACAGAAACATGACCTCAACCTCAGTTATAAAACATCTGAAATCTATTTTTGCTAGACATGGAATACCAGCTATAGTAGTCTCAGATAGTGGCACACAACTGATTAGTCAAGAACTACAAAAATTTGCAGAAGAATGGAAATTTCAAATACACCCTAGTTCTCCATATCACCAACAAGGAAATGGAATGGCAGACAGAACCATTCAAACTGTCAAAAAACTATTAAAGAAAACAATCGAAACAAAAGCAGATATTGAACTTGCCTTACTAGCTTATCGAAACACACCTGTATATGGCACCTACACACCATCACAAATTCTAATGGCAAGATTACTTCGAGAACACGTACCGAGATCAAAACATCATCTTGAACCTCAACTAATCGAGCGAAATAAATTTCATAAAGAAATGGAACAAGCCAGACAGAAACAAAAGAAATACTACGACAGAAGTACTAAAGAGCGACCAATTCTAGAGAATCTTATATATTATCAGGACAAACCTGGCACTCTATGGAAAAAAGGAAAAATAGTGAAGTCACTCAACGATCGTTCCTATCTTATACAAACGGAGGAGGGTAAAACCCTACGAAGAAACAAACAATTTCTCAAACGTAGAAGGGAGGAAATAGATATAGGAACGAATATTGAGACTGATATCGGTACCAATGAAGAACAAGACAGGGTACAACAACATGCAACCTTAGTTGTGCCAATTCCTCCGAATAATCGAATATCACTTCAAAATAGACCGCATAGAACGATTAAGAAAAATCCAAAGTATTTTGGTCCCCAATTTGTTAATTCCTAAGTTAGTAATAATTTATGTCTTGTATACATGCATTAGTGTCATTGTGTTATTATTAGCATTAGTTTTATAAAAAGAAAGGGAGATGTAATATAGTTAATGTAAGATGTGTTGCCTACCTATTGTGTACATATGTAACCATATTTTATGTCTGAATAAAACCAGTATACTCCTGACTCTGACACTGAACAGACATCACATCTGCTGTGTCTTCTTTAGAAGGTTCCTCTTTATTGACTATCACAGAATTATTTTGGGATATATTTGCACTTTCATCGAAACTGACATTAGAGAGCTCAGAATTATCCACATCAATGGAGATTGAACCGTTGTTGTCATCTAATAGTTGGTCCAGCCATTCGCAGTTATCTAAGACCATTTCTTCTTCTTCATTGGAGCGCTGAAATATTTTCCAGAGATAAAATAACGATGTATCTTTGATATCCCCTGACCACTCTCCTTGACAGGATTTGAAAGCCTGCAGCTTGTCTTTATCTATTATATTTTCCAATATCTGAAAAATTTCTTGGTTTTTTTATCTTTTGGTGTCAAGCTTCTTTAGGATATGTTTGTTCCGCGGTCATAAGCTTCGAATAATCAAGAGCGTCAGCATTAAATGGAAACAAACCACATTTTCGGAAACCATTGATAAACATTTGTTTGTGACAAGTGGTTCTGATCACATCATTTAAAACAGGCCCAAAATTTTCTCGTTTGAGTTTGCGTAAATTATTTGTCATTTTCCATTTCAACACCCCTTTTTTCCATCCGTTTTTTAAAGGATGAAAGATAGCCACGTCCATTGGCTGGCACAGATGGGTGGAATTGGGAAAGAGCGAAATCAGAATGATTTTATGTTCCGTGCAAAACTGACTTAATACCATCAACGAACAAGACTACAGGAAAATTGATCTTATTGTCTATTAACCACGGATAAAATATGTTTGCCACATATTCAAAAAAGGTTTGAGAAGTCATCCATCGGCTTTCGGTTTTTCCAATGCCCCAACCAGAAGGCATCTGATTAACAATAGCAGGAGGAATTCTTTCATAGGAGAAAACAGTCATAGGAGGTGTTTCCATTCCAGCAGCATTTCCACCAAGTAGAGCGGTTAAACATTCTTTGTCATCATTGTTAGTAAAGGAATGGACAATTTTTTGACCTCTTTTTACAATAACTTTACTTCCTTTTGGGCATAAAAAGAAAGCAGTTTCATCCAAGTTAAAAACTCTCCGTGGATCTGCAAACACCTCGTCCATACACCCTTCTCTTTCCATGTGTGATTGTACCTCCGCATACCAGCTTCTCAGACTTTGTTCAGTTAATGAAGCTCTTCTGCCACTTAAATTTTGTGAAACTCGTTCACAAAGTTGAGGATGTCTTCTTAAGAAGGCATCATACCAATGTCGTCCAGGTCTATTATTAGTAAAGGGATTGGGGCGCTTTATAGATGTTAATAGCATCTGTACACTGTCCAATAAATTTTCTTTATGGACAGGAAAACCTTGTTGTGATGAATGAAGCATCCATTTTTCTAAACCCATGTTCCGTTGCACGGGATATTTCCCCGTATGTTTATATAATAACGTGGTTCTAGGCACTTTGTATGCTTTAGCTGCCGTAGATATTGGAGTGCCAGTTTTTACAGCCTGTAATGCTCTGGCCATATCTTCTTCAGTGTATTTTAATATTTTTGAAGTCGTCATTCTTCTGTTGATTAAAGAAAAACGGGACTAACAAAAATTGTTAATGCATACGACAATAATATTCACAACATTGAGTGTCACCTATTGATTTGTAAATCAGGATTAAATCGAAGTATGTCTTAATTAATCTAATTATTGCTTAATAATAACTAGATATTATAATAATAATAATTCACTCTTAATGTAAAAGTTGTGACCGTCAAAAGCTCATGTCCACATAGCTGATACAAGTAAGTACCAGTACCAGATCCAGATCATAAACTTAATTATTTCTGTAATTTCAAAGAGGAATAAAGGCCATCAGATACTGGTATGTTGATTTTACACCACGAAAAAAAGGTATTTGCGCAATTGTGACTACTGAAACTTAATATGTTTAATATATAACGAAATAACTAAATTTGTCATAATGTACCAATACCTGACAACTTCGTGTCAGCTATTGGACAAACGACAAAAAGAATGTCCCATTACCTGACATGCAAAAATAAATATTATAAACACCAGTAGGAAGCTGAATTACGGTAGAAATAATATTTTCAAAGTATTTATGCATTATCGAACCTATAATTATGGTTTCAATACTATATTTTGCGGAAAAAATAGCATAAAATTGAGACAACTAACCTTACCTTATTTTATAAGCTTCCGATCACTTTCCCGCCAACTTACCACACGTCGCTTATGACAACCGCTAACTAATATTCTTTACATTACTAATGGCCGGTTTCTGGAACGATATTTAACCGACCAGTTAGTTTAACTCTCCGATAAATTAGTAAATGGGTTGCTAGAAACAAATTGTCAGTTTAACTGAGCCAAAATGCACAGTTAAACTAACGCGGCATGGAGGTCCGTTAAATTTTATCTGACGCATGCGCAGTCACTAATTGTCAAATTGTTGAATGCAAATGGTCGCTGTTTCGTGTTTTGTTTTGATTTTTGATTTCGATTTTGGAGTGTTGGTGTTGTTCTGCAAGGATTACTTCAGCAATTTCAACAAATTAACTACAATTTAGTGAAAACAAAATCAGTTCTTTTCAGAACTTCGCGTCTGCGGGGTCAGAGAGAATGGAACTTGCTCGGGTATTCGAGAGTTCAAGTTCTTCCTCTGATGAGGAATTGGGTGACCTTTTAGTGGTTGTGGATAGGGTGAAAGTATTCAGAGATAGACGTAACCCTTTCGAAATATATAGTGAAGCTGAGTTTCGTGATCGATACCGTTTTTATAAAGACACTGTGAGACACATTATTACTTTGATTGAAGACAACATTGCCCCCATGACCTTAAGAAATTGTTCGCTTTCTCCTGCAGATCAGCTACTTATCGCTTTGAGGTTCTACGCAACAGGTAACTATCATAGAATTACAGTATAATCTCACTAATCCGGCACTTCGATAGATCGGCACGTCCAATAATCCGGCACCCTCCGCCCACGCCTCCCTCGCCCCTCTACACCTCCATTAATACATTACATACATTTATTCCCTCTATGAAATGCTTTATTTTATTCATTACCTATGAGTTTTTTACTATAATCCAGTAGTCCGAACATTCCAATAATCCGGCATCCTCCGGTTTTTAATAGTGCCGGATTAGTGAGATTATACTATAATAACAAAATGTTAATCGTATCCTATAATGTAGGAGCATTCCAAATTCTCGTTGGTGATGACTATGGTGTCCACAAAAGTACAGTATGTCGTGTGGTACAACGAGTATCTGAACATCTAGCAGGGATGTGCCCACATTTTGTGAAAATGCCGGAAAACCAGCAAGAAAAACTACTAGTGAAGACAGGTTTTCATGCGATACGAGGCTTTCCAAATGTTATTGGTTGTGTGGATGGTAGCCATGTTCCCATAACATCACCTGGTGGAGAAAATGCTGAGCTATTCAGGAATCGGAAAACTTATTTCTCCATCAACGTGCAAGCTGTTTGTGATTCAAAGTTAAACATACGTGATATTGTTGCACGTTGGCCAGGATCTACACATGACAGCACAATATGGAACGCTTCACTCTTAAGTGCAAGATGTGAAAATAGAGAATTTCAAGGGTCGTACATACTTGGAGATAGTGCCTATGGTTGTACACCTTATTTAATGACCCCTCTTCTAAATCCAACAACTCCAGCAGAACGTAATTATAATGCAGCCCACAAAGCAACTAGAAATTGTATCGAGCGTTGTTTCGGGAATTGGAAACGAAGGTTTGCATGTCTATCTCTGGGACTACGAACAAAATTGGAGAACACCTTGACAATCCTAGTAGCAACTGCAGTGCTGCATAATATTGCCATTAGCCAAAATGATCAAGCTGACGATTTTGAAGCAATCCAGCAATATGAAGATGTGGAAAATGACATTAACAATGACAATTTTCCAGGTGGCAATGCTGCAAGGAGAGCACTAATAGACACAGTTTTCAGGTAAATTCATTAACTAACAAAACTTTATATTTACAAAAAATTAATACAAAAACACCTATATATCTTCCTCTGCTGCTTGCAACCTATTAAGTTTCATTTGCCGCATTTTTCGCTCAAAACTAATTTCCTCCACTCTATGCTGAAAATTTAGTTCAAACAGTTTTCGGTCGTTGTCCAATTGTTGTTGTACAACGGCCAGTTGTTTTAATTTTAACTCCTTTTCGATGTTTAAAATGTCAATCTTTAACTTTTGCACTTCGGCGTCTTGCATATCTTTGTAATTTTTGCGCCTTACAAATCTGTTAGAAATGGTTTCAGCGCAGGTGCTTCTTTTTTTAGGCACTTGCACTGATTGCATCTGGAATTTGCGTTTTTGGGCTGTTCTTCCTTTGACTGGCTGCTGAGGAGGGGGAGAAGGAGTTGCAGAAGCTACGGATTCAGTAGGTGAAGTTCTCGTTACCTCAACCCGTCCTGGTGTGTTAGGTGTGTCTGCACAGAATAAATTATTACAATGCTTTAGTTTTTGAGGTTTGTACATGTATTAAGTACCATCTGATAGTGCATCCGCAGATTCAAGTGAACAGTCTTCGATGTTGTATTTTTCTAGAAACATAATTACATTGTATATTACTTATAATTATATGTTATATTATACCTGTCATATTGAATCCAGAACAACTTGGTTTTGGTTGCCCTTCGATATAGCTGGCACTAGAATCAAATTTGTTCTGGAGCGGTTGAAATTGGTCCTTTAAAACTGTTACTATTTTCGCATCCAGGGCGGTACTCTTAGGTACAAATGTGCCCCCGCCTGTTTTGTATGAACTTTTCTAAAAATAAAGCATATTTTACATTTTATAAGTATATCCATTTTCTTCTCTCATTGCAGGGATTTGAAAACTGCATATACACTTACCTTGTCGGAATATAAATTGCTGCGCGCCGTTTTCTTCATATTATCATACAAGGCATGCAACTGTTTGGCAGTGCGATGCCCCGTTTCACACTGTGCATTGTAACTTTGGGCAATTTCCTGCCATGCCAAATTTTTTTTGGCCACGGTTATAGCATCTGACTCCTTGTTTTCTATGACACTTTTAAAATCGGCCGTAACTAGTTCAAAAGGCATATTTTTCTCTCTTTCGGTGAAATTTTTACCTCTAATGCGTTTATCACCCATTTTGATATTTGAATTTGTCAAAAATTACCCACATTTATAGTAGCGCCATCTATGCGATTTTAAAAAAATCCTTAGTTCAGGATACAACCGCCAGTTAGTTATCCGACCTACAAACTAACTGGAGAATGTTTTCAGAAACCGAACTGAATTTTAACTGTCCGATAAATTTAACGGACAGTTAGTTAACAGACCAGTTAAATATGGTTCGAGAAACCGGTCATAACTCATGTTAAAAGGTTTAATTTGTCAAACACTTCATAGAGGACACTACCTAGATGCAAAAATTAAAGTAGGTTTATTGTATTTCTTATAAAAAAGCAACTTCATCGAAAACTGTCAGCTACTGGGTCAGTATCAGCGACTGGTACGTTTACCTTATAACTGCTTTGAAAATTTTTAGTTGTAATATACTAACAGTACTGACATCTGCTGACAACCGTATCGATACAAGTTTTGTTCCCAATTTTTCACAAAATAAAATTACTATTCATGAAAATTAGTGATTTATCCGAGGATTTATCTTTATTCTTATCAGATTTATAGAAATCGAAACATTCACGGAACGAATGTTTTAATCGGAACATTTATTGGACGAAATTTGAAATCGGAATTAGAGTATTGAAATCGAAACGTCTGGTGACCTTAAACATCTGGGGTAATATAGAGAAGACCCAACGACACAAACAAAGCCATAACAATTCTTTGCCCATTGTCCCTGAAACGGGACAAGGTTTTGAAGAGTTCATTCGTCGAATTTTGATTTTATAAAGACGTTTATAAAGCGATGATGGGTAGCAAAAAAATTAGAGAGTGGTTAATTTTGATTTTATTAAATTTATTTCATCTAATGAAAAAATAACGCTCAACTTCTGCATTTACTATCCACCAGATGTTTGGGGGGTGCAATCGGACCTTTGTTGGTTTGGTTTGTCTATGAGTCGGACGATCACTTTTTTCCGTATTTATGGTTATTGTACTTCACACTCACAGTGAAGCTATCGAATTCCATTTGGCCATTTGGTTCACAACCACCGAACCTTTCTCGAGAATCCGTAACTCACTTCATTTTTAATGCAGTTTTGTGAAAATTGTGCCATACAGTGTGGGTTGTATTTACACTAGGTAAGTTAATATAATTCTAATGAAGTAGTCATTTTAATTTTTACATGCTTCTGTTGTTTTTGATAACTGTACGTAAATAACAACAACAGTTTTTTCAGATAAGCTGGAAATACCACCATTAATCACTGAAGATACTCCCGTTGATTTTGAAGAACTTACGGTGATTGTTTTTGAAAGTGAGGCGCTTTGCCATAACATGTTGCAAAGGTATGTTACTGCAATTTTTTATGAACTAGGTGCTAATGAACATAATTTTACTCTAGACTTGAAACAAATACAAAAAATATGTGCGAAACAAAAGAAATTCTAAAGGAAACGAGTGAACAAATCTCCAATATGAAAACGTCATCAAATGTGACAAATCAAAAAGAAAACAGTAATAGAAGATACGGCGCCAAGATCACAGGTAAACAAATTTTGAGGAATTGGATTATTATCTCTGCCTACTACAACAAGCAGGTTTCTTTGTAAGTTAAAAAAATACAATAAATTTATATCTACTTACATATAACATAATTTTGGATATTATGTACAGGCAGATGCTTGTAATACTATAACACTTTTTAGGAACCTACTAAACATGGCACATTTCGCTTAACACGTTACATACATAGTGGGTTGCAGAAAAGTCTTATAGTGAAGCACCCTGTATGTTATACATACGCGGTGACTTCCAAATAGATTCGGAAAAAAAATCCCTTAATTGTCACACGGATTCAAAGTAATTAAATTGCTAATCCAGTTTCAAGAAACAAATACGGAACATCTTGTTAAATGTAAATGATGCGGCAATGATTTATTCAGTTCCATTGTGACTAAATTTTTTCTTTGTTTTTGCTGTGTGTTGCTTAGATGAAAACAAATGGCACTGAATGAGGTGTGGATCTTGATATATTTTCCCCTGAATTAGGACTAGATAAAATAAATTACTTAAAATTTTCTGTACTTCGTGATGTTGTGGTGTTATTTTCCGAACTTATTTCAGAGTCACTCGATATATACACATAAAAATATTTTCTTCTTTTCTTATTTCAGGAACTGCTATTGTCCCAGATAGGTGGTAATGGGAAAAACAACAATGTGGGGCGTGTATTAAAAAAAAACTTTTTAGCGAATTTGTTGTAGCTTGTTTGTTCGGTAGGAAAATTCCAAAATGGCTGGGACAATATCATGAAAGGTATTTTTTTTTGCAATAAATATAATTATTACAATTTTTATTTTTGAAGAAATTACAATGAAGACCCATTCCGCAATAGAAAAAGAAGTAGAACAACGCTGCTCAGAGTGGCTACGACATTCTAGTCAACGCCTGAAGACAGAAAAAACAACGACAGTTTATAGTTTCTGTGTCTTTTTTTAAGTGTAAATTATATTGTATTATTTTCGAATTAGGAATTCATATTAGTATATTAAAGAACGAGTTTCATAAGGCAAATATTGACGCACGAATCCAAGTTTATAGAACGAGCTGCGAAGCCGCGAGTTATATAAAGGATGAGTGCCTCAATGGCCTTATGAACGAGTTATTTATACTATTTTTTCTACCGCACACGTGTTTTCCCAAAATTTAATTAAAATTTGCACTTTTTTTAATCTGGGGACTTTTGTCGTGGTTGGTGATGGGTTGGTCTGACACTAACCACGAAATATTTGAGGTTCGAATTTTCACAACAACAATTGTAATTCGAATCAATTCGAGTTTTCGTAATTTAAAATTGGTTAAAATGTCTTGCGAAGAAGTTACGCGTCCGGAAACGTGGGAAATTTTAAGTTTAGATTTGCCACTGACATTCACCTGACATTTGTCGTCATTGCTATCAATCTTACCGATCTAAATTACACCAGATCTATTAAAGAACGCCTTTCCGCAATTAACGAACTGCTGTGACGTCATTTGCGTGCGTTAATAGCTCTATTAGAAAACCAAAAAACGTGGGCGGTAGAAAAATATATTTATTTATTTATATTATGAATTTATGTTAATTTTTGTATTTTATTACTTATTACATATTATATTTTTTCAAACATTGAATAAAAGAATAATTTACTGTAAGCTCTAAATTTTACTCTCCATATCCATATCCCTAAATGATACATATAAATGGTAACTAGACTTTTTGAAATGCCTATTCATATCGCATAGATCATGTTAATAAAATATACTGAGAGTCATATGTTTACGATGTTGCGATATATACGTAACGTCTATGTCCATTTAATACGTTATATTGGCGTTTAAAATAAAACGTAACAGATACATCAAAATATAGAGAATCTAGCGACATACTAACACAACGTTATGATGATGTACCAGCGAGCACGTCTCTAGTCTGAAACAATGTGGATGTCACCAGTATGTTACAAGCATGGGTCACTGTTGATTACATTACATAGAACATGGAAAGCAAATGTACGCAGTTTGGGATGTAACAGCTAACATGATCGTAGACAGAGTTAAGTGGCATTAACATCGCTACGACGTAACTGTGTTTACTGGGAAGTTATCAAAACCCGAACCAATGGATACAACTTCCAGAACCTCAACCATAAAACCAAAATTTAAATTTACTTTTGAAGAACTGTACACTCAAGAAGTAGGTAACGTTCAGGGAACCGAAAATATTAAATTTGAAAATCCATTTGAATCCGGCCCTGAACTTTTATCTGAGAATGCGGCAGAAAACAACTATTTTGATGATAATAGCATGTACTACACGTGTTACGGTAACGAAATCGGAAACCAAGCATCAAGTTCTTCAACTCAATACAACGACTTGGGTTCAGCTTACCAAGCGTTTGAAGAAGATCCTTATCACAATCATGAAACTTATTCGACACAAAATGCTGACTCGAATTCTCAAAATTTTTACCAGGATTTTCCAGAAATGTACCCGAAATGATAACGTTCAATCACACCGGTCAAAATCTTCCATATATCTCTATCCCCGAATTAAATTCTTATTTTTTGATAGACACTGGTAGCTCAAAAAGTTTTTTAAATCCAAATTTAGCATATCATTATTATCAACCATATATCCAGAATGAAAATTTCAATGTACAAACCCCTCATGGAATTTCTAATCACTCCCAAACAGCTGTAATACCTCTTTTTAATATTTTTAAA